AACGAACAAAATACCCGTAGCATACAGGTTTTCACACCAGGTCATCAATACTTGGAACCTGCTGCCCGAAGCAGTGGTGTCCGCACCTTCAACTGACCCTTTCAAGAGGAGACTGGACACTCACAGAAGCATACTAGAAAAGGAATAACATAGGCCTTAGGCCCTCTGTCCTTACTACACAAATCTGAATCCGAATCTTCTCAGATTCCAAGGAATGTCTGCGCAAACCGGTTCTCAACTTACATGTAATATACTGTGATGACTAGAAGTACTTGAAATATTATACGATCTAAGAATCCCAAAAATTACGCAATTTAAATCAACCAGAAATAGATGAGCACAAAGAAACGTATAGTATTTAGAATTAGAAATCAGGCAAACATCTAGTACAAAGAGATCATTATTACATACAAGCACCACAACCGCCACAGATTAAATTGGAGTCTGAGTTTCTGCAATTGATTGTACGTCTTCTTCTAACGTCCTTTGTTTATCTCTTAGACTGTGTATTAGATACAGACTCATCCTGATCTAGAATATACTCATCAATATTCGAATTAACAAATAAAATTGGAACGGACTCACCTGGATCCTGGAATTGTATGTGATCAACATGTCGGTTATGCACTGAAACCACTGATATCTGGAATTTGGGCCATAAACTTTTCAACACTATTGTTCCCCAGGAAATAATATCAGATCTTCATATCCCCAAGTTATGAATAACGTGGCTTCATTTGAAAAATTTCTCACATCGATTAGAAGATTCACTAGAAGTGACTTTATGGTAAGTATAAACAACATTTGATACCGAATCATCTTAACGGCAATAAAATTCGAGCTCGTTTAGGACTTGTGATTCTCAGTGAACAAGTTTCCCATAAGAAACAAACTCATTGTGGGAATAAATGACATCAGGATTTGATCCTTTTGGAATATTTTCTCCAAAACATAACTACTGTTTTTTGAATTCCTGGGTAAAAATAAGTGATCATCGTGACCACTCAACTTAATAGGATCAGGATTACAAAGTTTAGCATTGGCTAAAGCGAAGTGAACAGGAGTTTTACAAACTGACTGAATGTGTTCAATCTCACCACATTTAGAGCATTCAACGTTACAAAACACACATGAATTGCATGAGTGAAATTTTTACAGGACAAATATTTGACAAACTTGTGCTCATCTTTGTGATCTGCTTCGCAAATTCTCAATGAATTATTTGCATAACTTTGAGCACGCATTAGATTTAGATAACGTAATAATTCTCGATGTCCTGACGAATCATTTCGTGAAATTTTCCTCTATTTACTGCATTCGAATTTTGAACACTACATGGTCTAGTAGTCGTTATTTTAGAGTTGAATACGGAAATGAAATCGGCTTCCTTGGATTTGCCAAAATTTTTAATAAGCTGAAGGTTTCTTTTCCGATGAATGTTATGAAATGAGTCCCAATATTTTCTGTGACCACAGTCCAGATTGCGAACCTTTCCAATATAATCCTCAAAAGCTTCGTAATTTGAGTGTATGTCCTAATGTTCCGTCACATTCTCCATCGTAACGCCGATGTGATGATTAAAAGTATTTGAAATATTGTATTAACTGGAAATGTCCGAAATAGTTAAATTTGCAATAAGTTGAACTAGAACGAACCCCCGTATCTGAAATTAAAAGTCAGGCAGACATCAAGTACTGGGGGATCATTAGTTCATACAAACGCCACATGTACTTACACTTACCTGGTGGTGACGCCTTACCTAAACCCCTCAACAAGCGACTTTAGTTACAAGTAAAAATGTTGGAATCAACTTAGAATGTCTAATCATTTAGCTTAGGTAGTGTCCAGTAAAAGACTACCTATAGAATAGTAACTCGTTTAAACAAAACCTTATTAGGTCTTCAGACAAAGGGAAGCCCTTTCTACCCATAAAAACAACCAGGACAGTAAAGGTAGGAAATTCATTTCCAAATTATGGATTCGTGTATATATGTAACTACTCGGGTTGTGTAAAGCTCTTTTGCAGACAAATTTTATCATTCTCAAGTGCATGGGAAGTGTACACGCGTATATCAAAACAAGAAAGTCAAATATAGAAATCACTCAGAAGAAAATATCTGAAATCTGAAAAACATGTTTCATACGACTAACTGAGAATTAGTTACAGATGACTCACCTAAGATCACTACTGATTTTCACTTGTTACCTTAAATTCTGTTTTGATGTTTTTTGTCCCACTGAAACCATTTTTGTAAGCTTTGATCGACAAACATCTTCACAACCAAAACGACTATGGAGGGTGAAAGAAAGAATGTAGAAGGAGACAAACTCTAATGAAATTCGTAAGCCAAATGGTCTGATAAACCTGGAAATTAAACGTCTCAACTCTATGTTTACTCAAAAACTCTTGTCTTGCAAAAACTCTCCAAGTATGTGGAAACTCTTTAAAGAACTTGCAGTTGACAGACAGATTAAGAGCGATAACCAGATGAATATTTGTGACTTAACTAAGTCTTTTGCACGTCAGTCATCTGATGTAATGCTCCCTTCATCTACAGATTTAAATAATAGTTGTGTTCCTAGTTTCACTGAAACTGATGTCCGAAGATGTCTCCAGTCATTTAGTTCATCCCGATGTTTAGGATCTGATGGTATCTCAAAATTCTTTTTTTAAATGTGCTGACGTCCTATGTCATCCATCCACGACTATCTTTAGCACATCCTTCTCATCTAATCTCATACCGAAAATATGGAGAAAGATGAAGATAATCCCTGTACCCAAGAAAATATCTGGTGATAAGAATGTGAAATTTAGATCTATTGCAATAACTTCACCCTTCCTCAAAACGATGGGGAAATTATTGATACTTCTACTTCAGCCTGCTATAAAAGAGCATATTGATCCGTACCAGTTTGCTTACAGATGCAAAAGAAGCACCTTAGATGCCATTACTGTTCTGCATAACAACACAGTGTTCAACTTAGAAAAGGGTAAGAAGTATGTTTGATGCGCTTTTCTGGACAATACTTCAGCTTTTGATTCTATACCAAGACAACGTTTACCTAACAAGTTATTCAGCGTCAACACTGACAGCTGTATAACCAACTGGAAGGGAACAGTACACTGTGTTTGGAGGGAAGTGTTCAAAGTCACTAATGCCTCATGAAGGTGTACCACAAAGAGCTGTTCTTTCTCCTCTTCTTTCCTCTTTTTTTTGCATGATCTGCCATATTCCACAGTAAACACTTTAATGAAATATGAGGATGATCTCATTGTATGTATACCTATCTCTTCCTCTTTACATCCCATAGAAATGAATGAGTTTTTGTCTCGTATTGATTGTTGGTCTGTTGGTAATGGTCTCATATTTAATCCGTCTAAATATCAAGTTGTTAAATTTAGCATGAGACATGAACGGAATCTAAACACCATGTTGAGATCCCATAATGCTTGTATCATTGGAGACTCTTTGATAAACACAGTGTAGAAGGTCAATTATCATGGTGTTACCTCTTCCTCTAATCTCTCTTGGTCTTCTCACGTTTTATTGTTATCGAAGAAGCTTTTCCGTCTGACTTACTACATAAAGAGATTGCGTGCTCTTGGAATTACTCGTCATTTACTCTTACAATTTGTCAATTCTTGCATATTACCTATTATTCTTTACTGTCTTCCATTATTCTTTCCTGGGCGTTTGAGAAAAGACTTCCAGCAAATATTTCACCTCCTGTCAGATGTGACTTACAAGCTGCTTGTTTCTCTTGGACTTAGTCTCCACATACGATGATGAAGTCAGTCAAATGACTTTCTTCCCATCTCTACGGCGAAGTGATCATGCAGTTATCTAATTCAAGTTCATGATTGAGATGGTCTGTTAAACGGGTGCACCGGCAAGTCCTAGCATAGGGAGGGCGGGTATGGAGACGACACTTGCACAGATCACCAAAATTAAAGGTACGCTAATCAAGCATTAAAGAGTAGTGCCAAAAAGCAAACAAGCAAGCGAGTAAGCGTGTGAGTCGAATGTGCGAGCAAGCGAACATGATTCAAATATACATATGTATACACAGTAAAATGTATGAATCATTGGATAAAGTAGTCGACCAGCAGTAAGGCTAGCAGAATGAATATATGCATGGGCAGTAAGCAATGCTCAAGTATACGTATTCACACAAGTGCAACAATAATAAAGGAGCAATGGCATAGATAAGTTGTTATTGTACGAATGACCCTGTCCTTTAAATGAGTTAACAAAAGGGCCAAATTAAATGTGAACAAACTCAGTTGCAAGTAAGCTGCTATAAGGCGGAAATTCTAGACATTGGTGGACCTCTCGTAAATTGGTCTAAGCGTTTCGTGCCATGCCGTAGACAGAAAGTAAGGGTGAATTTCAAGTGCTCCATCTGGAGATTTGTACTTAGTGGAGTGCCTCAAGATTCTGACCTGAGTCAATGATCTCCCTGGTATAGTACAGTCCCAAATGTTACTAAACGCTGACGATGTAAAAATCTGGAGAGAAATGTCGGGAGGAGAAGATGCACGCGCACTTCAGGCAGACTTTAATATCGTGATTAACTGTACTAAGGAGTGGCTAATGATTATCAACGCGGCAAACTGTGTCTATATGCACTTCGGGAACACAACGATAAGTAGGTGCAGTCTAGGAGAAGTGCCTGTACCCGTGGTTCGTTCTCACAAGTATCTTGAGGTGACAGTGAGCTGTGATCTTAAGGCAACGGCTTAATGCTGGGAGGTTGCAGCTGAGGGATACTAGAAAAGTAATAACATAGACCGTAGGTCTTCTGTTCTTACTATACAAACCTGAATCTGAAAGTTACCCGGTTCGCTGGGTTCATAAACAAATGCCAGACAACTCCAAACAGCTGGTTAATGCTAATACATACGAAGATGCCAATTATTTTTCAAAACACTCAGTTAGGTCATCTATCGCGCTTTATTAAGATCACTTGGTTCACTAACTTGCTTTAAATGATGCGCTAGATCAACGAGCGCGGCCTTCAAGTTATGGGTGATCGGCCTGCAGGTTGGGCTTACGAGACAATGTTACGGTGTTTAATCTATGCATTTTAATATGTAGTTGCTCATTGTTTTCCAAGGTTTCTGTTTTATTGTTAAGTTATGTAACTTCAACTTGCACAAGACAAATCTTTTGCTGTGATCTTCTATCTATGTAGGTCAACAGTTGCCAGTGCCCGTCCGGATACCTCTGTCCAGTATTCGTGCACAGACAAGGCCTCTCGGAAATATTGTCCCTGCCAACGTAAGTGATATATTTTAAGGAAATGAGATTCCGTCAACCTTTGTTTTTGTACCGTCTGTAAGAAGCCAGCATTCTCAGTAGGTAGTTTTTCCGACGTCCCTTAGCTCTCACTTCACGATCCTTTTATAGACAAACACTGGGATTGTTTTGAAGACATAAGGGGGATCCTGATTACTAATTTATATGCAGCCCAGTATCGTCTTTACATTTGATGCTCACATTAAGTGGTACCTATTATGTGTTGTCCCATCTAGCACTAACTATTCTGTAAGTTCAGATTTGATACGATCAAGTAATCGAAAACTTGTAGATTCATAGATTTTTATACATACGGAACCGTGTTGCTGACCGTTGGCACTTCCTGGAAATGGTCCTGGAAATTCTGTCTCGCGACCACACATTACCAAATTTCTTAGTCGATAACCTAAAGTAACGTTTTATTTTCTCAGCAAAGTAGGAACATGAATGCTTTACCACGCTGCATATTTGGCTTGTATGAAAGTGAAACTAGAACAACCTTGTAAATAGGAACAATGCCATACGCAATTTATGAGCCTGGTGTGTCTTTGTTTTGACTCGTTGCTAAAACGTACAGTGGTAAATAAACGTCAATCTTGACTTAAGATGTGTTGGAGTGACCTCGATACTTGTGGATGATATTAAACATGAAGGATTATGCTTGTTTCATTTACGCAATGTATTTACTAATTTGAAATCTAATATAAACTTCAGACAAATGCGTCGTAGTTATCGTTTTTATTTTTTAACCGATATCTGGGATGAGGGTACAGTTGTCTGTTACGGAGCTCTCGGGAGTGAGCTATTAGAAAGGGATAGTGGTAACATAGTCCTCTGATAGGTATCAACATCAGTATCACAACTGTCTCATTTCTGAGTTCAAAGCTAGTGGTCCAATGATTTGATAGTTATGGTAAATTCTATGGAGATAAAAATCCAGAGTGTATTTGACTTGATATCCCACAAAGGTCTTTCTCGCGTCGCATTTTAGGAGTAATGAAGCTTAAGATGCTCAAACACTTTGAAATTTCCGAAATCTCCCAAAGTAATGTCTTTAGTACAAAAGGATAACTAGCTGGCCCCGATACCTAATTTCAAGGCTTCCCAGGTTTAGATTATGTAGACTTGCGAAATTGCAGATTATTACTTGAACGTTCACTAAGTACTTCTGCGAAGGAGCTACTATCACTATCGTGTTCTGTTCATTTAGAAGAAAACCAGTACGAATCCGAAAGAATGCTTGCAGTATGCTTTCATTTGCATCCTGATTACACAACAACCTCAACTTGAACGATATTAGGTGACGATTCCTCGTGGCATCTCATGATTATATATATAGCTGGGCAGGTTGCTGATTTTTCTTGCTACAACAGCTTGATTAAGCAGAATGTTATTTTATAAACCCCCATAAAATGATATTGGGTTATTAATCATCAGTAAATTTTAACCACAAGGATTCGTAGACTGATATCCTATCCCTTAAAAACTGGTGGTCTTGTTTGGGGATAATTTAGGACTATTTCTCTACGTAACACAAGCTTTTTAATTGTTTAGTTAGGATGCTGGCCAACTAAACATTTTATAGAAAGCAAACAGCTACAAACCTCCAGTGTTAGTTCGAAGGGTTCCTCAGTTTCGGGACCTCATTTAATCTGCGGTTTCCTAGTACTTATAATTGTAAGGCATCTGATGTAAAAGTTGTAATTGCTCAACGGTTATCGAAAAATATTTCTGTGCCTCAATAAGAAAAGTGCTTTAATTCTTAGATTTCAGGGGTCGGACTCATCACGTCCTGTTCTAGATATTTTAGCAGTATTTGGTTCGTAGCATGATTCTTCCTACTGCTTTGATCGGTAAGACTATAATTTATGGAGGACATTTGAGCAACACTAAAATGACTTTGGAATGTTCGCCTACTAACCAGGGTTAAATGAAAGTTATATATTAGTGTGAGGAATTAGCATTGTGGCTTAGTTGAATGTTAAGATTGGGAATTAGATTTAGTGTTCTCATGATGTAATGACATCAGCTATAATGTCAAAATGGTATTTAATCAAATAAGTAAATGAATCTCTCGCCAAATCCAAGACCTGCTATCTTAAATGTGATTGATTCGTCCATAACTTATAGTCTACTTCTTTGATCAAATTAAACTAAGGATAAGCAAAAATGTAGATAAAATAAATTCTTTGATTCCTCTGGGTTAGGAGGTGGCAAACATATCCGGTTGTAGGTAGTTGGTATGTTTTGCGACTGGGTTTTCAATAAGTTTCCAGCAGTCTGTCGTCATCATGATTGATGGTACACCAGTAACACTTAAGCTATGTTTTGAGTTATCACTAAACCATCGGTGCTAACGGGATACTACAGGAGTTTGTAATTCATTGTGTCGTATGATTGTAATCTCATTACATTCTCAACCTTGTTTCACTTGTTATTTTCGAGGCCAATCCGTTATTGTGCGCTTAGAGGAATCCTTACTACAGTTGCAGTGTTAAAGACGATAAAAGCATAAAATCGAATTTCCCTGAGTAAAAATCATATGCTTTTTCATAATTATTTATGGACTATGTGGTACATAACGATGTCCTTTGATTGTGTTAAATTAGTGCGAGACTCGACATAGTAAGTTACCGGTTACAATCTCTGAAGATCACGAAGGAAATTCGCAAGTATTTGTATATATGATCAAATAAAAAGAAACGATTCAACTCAACCAGTCTTCCTTGTAACTGATGAATTAATTATTATCTATCCCATTACAACTGATTTTTCCTAATTCATCGACGCAACTGCTAGCCTACTTCCCTATAATCCAGCTTCTATGTAGTCGTCGGTTAGATACTTGATGAATTTGGGGTTCGCTTCTCTCCTTAATCATAATCATTATACCTTAGTACGCGGAACAAGATAACATAAGAAGTTCGAAAGACTCAGGTGATCCGATGTATTAAGACTCAGCCAACCCGATCTTAATATCGCTTACTTAGATGTTAGTACTTAAGAATAAACAAATTTACTCACTTTTCTGAATTGAAATATAGTGCAGTAGCTGAATAAAGACTCATAATTAAGATAGCTATGAATATTTTGTTATTCCTCAGAACACATGAGACAAAACGTCTTGGAGATTTTTAAATTCATGCATCGGCCCGAGTTGCTATACTTTATTCACAGGACAAGCAATTCAATAAAAGCATTAAGATCAGTGGACGACGTATTTTTTTTACTGAATTGTAGCATATTTTAATTAGGTTTACCAACTTTCGATATTTGGACACTACGATTTAGCAACCAAGCCCATATCTGTGTAATTGACTTCGACCCACTTTTTGTATCATGGCTAGCGATGTCACTTCATTGCTCAAAGTTGATAGAGTCTGGAAAATGAGACTGATTAGTAGCTGTTTCATTCGACAACTAAGTCTCTTTGAGTATTACAGGTACAAATTGAGTTAATCAACTGAAGTATGTTAACAGCTTAGTAACTCGCTAGTAGGAAATAAGATTAGTGTCAGTGGCAGTTGTTGCTTTTCATGTACCAGCGTATTTCTATCTGTTGACCTTCATCTTCCCAGAGGCCAGATGACTTTGAACAAGTTAACAAATGCTGTTCTTCCGTAACAACTCATGAGATTACTTTTTTGATATTGTCCACACATTGTGAGACCTTCCCATATCAATATGTAGAAAGGATAGTTATATCCCACTATTTTCTCTAAAAATTCCATTTAAATTTGAAAAATAACTTTTCATACATAGTTTAATCCCGGTGGTACATTTCTATAAGACTTCCTTGCATAATTTTATCTTAAAAAGGTCCCTCGACCACCCATGGTTAACCAGGTGTACTTGCTTCCTAAATCTGGGATAACTAATAATGTCCTTCCAAGTGCTCCGAGTGTGATGCAAGTTAGGAGTTTGGCGGTTGGACAAACTGTACTCCAACCAAACGGTGTACTTGCTACCACTCCTGTTATGCCAAGTAAGTTCCATTTTAATTATATATATGGGTCAGCTTTACATATGACTATCGAAGCACTTGAAGTATTCATTTCATCTAGTTAAAATTCGAAACCTTTGTTGTCATTTTTGGAAATTTACTAGCAGAGTTTTTTTTATAACTTGAGTTCTCACTTCCATGTAGTATGTAAAGGAAATCTAAACCAGAAACTAATGTCTTCTCTTCTGAACCACATTTGATAACTTATCAATCCACTAAGTTACACCACTCATAGGACCCTAACTGACGATTCATAATGAATCGACAGATAGCATTTCTGGCCACGCTTTACAACAATAACGTAATTACAAACAAACCATTATGCAGTAAACTTTCCTTGCACCTAGTAGAGAGACGAACACTCCACATGAGATAAAAATGAAGTCGATGAAACCCAAACAAACTTGTCAGGAAGTCGGCCCAATCAAGACATTGGTTCATGAAACTATTTACCTCTGACGAGTCATTCCATAAAGGGTAGACTTATTACTTGGAGCCGTCACAAAATAATCATATCCCCGTTGTTAAAGACCTTAGAGGACTTGATGCTAAACATCAGGCAGTGACCCAGATGTATTCTAACGATTCAGTTGGCCTTGCATTTTAAACCCAAACCTCAAGAGATGACATTTTTGAGCTTTCATTTTCAAATTTAGATTGTCAGTTATTCGTTTTTTAAATGTACCCTGGTAACCATAATTATATAAGGCATTAGTAATGTGGAATTTTCAGGACCAAGTAATCCCATATTTGGTAAATACCTTCCTCATGCAGTAAAGTTGGTGGTATGTGACAATCGGGTCAGTCAGTCAGTAGGACCATGCACATACATGTATCGGTCCAAGTTGCCACACCTCATTAGCACAACAAGATGAACACCAAATTCATAGAAGTAGTTACGTCAGTGGTAGTAATATATAAAAGAAGGATTTCGTACAACGATATAATACAGGAAGAAAGAATTAGAAAGAAAGGTATAAAGTAATTTGAATCTCACGGTTTGAGAGCAGACAAACAACCATACCCGACACTAGTCAGCGTTGCACGTCGTGGTAATCGGTATTCAGGCATACGTAACACGTGGCCCAACCATCTCAGTTGATGAACATTCACAACCCATCGTCTGATTTACCATCATTCCCTAATATCCTGTGTCTAACCTCACTATTACTTACCTGGTGATCCCAACCGATGCGAGCAGTATTTCTAAGACATCTGTGATCAAGTATTAGTAGTTTACGAGTATTTTCTACTCTTAATGGCCACGTTCCACAGCCGTAAAGTAAAATAGAATGAACTTCTGTCGACTATACTCGTCCTTTAATTGATAAACGGATATCTTGCTATCGTCATAGGTGACGTAAGTTGCCAAACGAGCCTTTTGAATCCATGCAAAGATTTCACCAGACACCAGCCTATTAAGGCTGATCAGACTTCCAAGATAAGTGAAGTTTCAATAGTTGAGATCATGAGTCAAAGCATCCGACTGCTTCACTCCCTATTCTTAGTTCGGGTATTGACGCAGGCCAACGGAATGAGGATGTAAAACTCACCTCTTTTAGTCATAACACCTAGCTCACTAGTGTGGAATATTGGGACCCCTAGGGACAAGTTTTTATGAAGTTGAAAGCTTCAAATAAGTGGCCAAATCCTTTATTCCAATGTCTTCAGTTTGTTTGACCGCTTAAAAACTTTTTCAAGAGGTATTTTCTGATATTTATTTTTATGATCAGGAGTTGTCACATCTCAGTCGGGTTCCTCAACTAAATTGGTGGGATTTTTTAACCAATTGTTAGAACTATCAAAGAATGTCTCAGCTAGCACTCATAGCTCAGTAGCAACGCTAATTCAAGCATTAGTGGTGAGTTTTTAACTAAATAAATTCTAAAATCACTTTACCTTAACATCATATTTTGTATATTTTACAATTCAGTGATCGTGAACAGGTTTCGTTTCTAAACTGTGTAGCATGTAAATTGTATGAGGGTTAACAATGTTCTCCGAATCCCTAAACTACGGTAGCTGGAGTAAGATTTAAACCTGTAATCTGCATATCTGTCGTTGCATTCCGTTCCGAGGTTTTACACACTTCGGCGAGAGATTTTTTGTCTTAGAATCACACGTACTCATTAGCTATGCTAGACATATTCAAATTGAAATAGCTTTTATAACCCCAAAATATTTATGATATCCTTTCTTTAGATATTAACATAGTGATCTATTATTTAACGTTCAAATATCCGTCACATTACACTGTTTTGACAAGCGAAATGTAACTCATCGACTTCAGATACTCAATTTTGAACTACATTGGATAGTAGGGCTATTTCAACTATCCGGTTACCTTAATCAAAATAGGTAAACCTACAATTTAGTAACCGGAAGTTAAATTTTTTTAAACAGTAGATCACTACTACCTTCAATCATTTAAGCAGTGATATTATATTTTGATAAATATTCATTTATGATTCCGCATTCAGTTCCGTGAACGAACATCTCCGCTGTTTTATCAATCGATCTTTTCATTATTACTTTTGACTTCATGTGTCACAAGTTTTTACCATTCACTTTGTTTATATAGAATGGAGAACTTGATGCCAGTTCGTTCAGTGCACAACTACGTAGCAATCTTAAAAGTGCCAATCCTGGTATGGACCTCGCCCCATTCATAAAGGACAACATAGATTTACTTAGGAGAGATCTAGCTAATGGTGTCTGTCGTCTCCCAAACATACAACCTCCCCCAAAAGATCTGTTCACAGGTGTACCCACTGCAGTCCCTGTTTCGATCGTAACAACATTACCTACCCTAGGTCTTCAGCCCCGTCCTAATGCTGCGGTTTCTACAACGCTAGTTTCTTCAACAGTACCCGCTGGCCCTCGCATTACTCTGCCGACGAATACAACTCCTCGCATAGTAGGCACACTCATGTCATCAGTTTCGTCACCAGTTATTCCAACTAGTCCTGTTACTGTTCCAACACCCCGAACACAACCCCCACTATTGGCTCCTGCTCCTCCCCGGACATGTATTACGTCTGTCGTAAACTTTGATGCAGCTTCAAGTTTTAACACCGGTACGAAATATCGTTTGGCTCAATCTTTTAGTGGTGTTTCATCTTCAACGTCTGTCGTATCTAATGCAACCGCCGCAACAGTGGTTTCGACACGTTTCACATCGACTATTAACGGTACGCGTCCGAACTACCAAAACCTGCGACCAATTATTGCTTCGTCCACTTCCACAGCATTGGGTATCAACTTAGCGTCGATAAAATCAGTTGCTGGTGTTTCTGCATCCGTACCCCCTGTAATTCGTGCTAAATCTGGATATGCTAACACTTATTCTCCTGGAATTCTACCCGCTGTTCACAACAAAGTAGGCTCCAATGTCCTATCCTTGAATGGATCTACGGTATTAATAGAAGGTGTGGACCGAAAACAGAATGACCTCTCGTTTTTGAGCGACGATATTCGTCACCCCGCTATGTCACCTACGCGTGACAATCCATTTTTCCCATCAGAAAAAGTTAAGGAAATATTAGAAACTCATGGCATAAAAACACTAACAGAAGAATCTATCGCGTGTCTCGCTCACGGTTTGCAAATATTCATCAAAAATATTTTATCAAAGTTGAGGATTGTAGTATCACATCGTCTCGATCGTTTAGGAGAGGATTCTCGTTTGGTTCAAACAGATCACACGCGTGAACAGTTGAGGTTTCTTCAGAAGTTGGATGAGCATGACCGAATGAGGCAATCAGAGTTAGAAAAGGATCTAATTTTGAAGGCTGCAAAAGTAAGTTTCGAAGTACATATCTTAGAAATATCTTATTTAACTTCATTTACTTGCCGAATACTGACTTGTTTTTGCAAATTATAGGTGTCTTGTAGATAAGCCCCTTGTAGCGTAACGTCAGCTAATATTGGTAAAATGAATTGTGTGGGAGTTTCTATTTTACGCTTTTCGTCCTCATTGGTTAATTTAATGTTTTCACCTTTCAAAACATAAAATAAATCACTATTTTTTTGCACTTTTCCATTTTTAGTCGCGTTCTCGAAATGAAGATCCTCATCAAATGCAGATGAGGGAAATGGCTCGACGGATAGCGTCTGAAGATTATGAACGTGAAAAGCAACATCAAGCCAATCTTACAGCTCTTCACGCTATCGGCCCACAACGCAAGCGTCGTCTAGATACTTTAGATGAAATGGGCAACTCCATTTCAACAGATATTTTGGGAGCCTCTCTTCCAACAAGAGATGGTGTGACAAATTTGGTGAGTGCCCTACCTGCTGCTACTGCTAATCGCCTTTCTATTGTCAGTGCCAGTCGACTAGGTTTGGTAACATCAGGACCAAATCTAACGCAACTCAATTTAGAAGCTTTGCCGGCAAATTCAAACTCATTGGTCTCCGGTGTCGGTGGGACTGGTGATAACATGCCAAATACATCTGGATTTTCATTAGCACTCAGTCTCAGGGCACATCGAGCAACTCTCAGAGATATGCAGGTCATACTTTCTCGTACACCGAGGCTTCGTCGTACTCGTACTTACTATAGGACGTATTGGCGCTCTCAGCCTTAAGAGTCTTTTCTTTGTTTCTTATTTTTATTTTTGCATAGACTTGATTTCTGATTGTAATATGATTTAATTACTAGTTGGCTAATTTTCCTAAAACGTTCCAAACCTAACTTGTATAATAAAATCTTTGTACATTATGACTTTTCGCAGTAGCCTACTTCGCTAGGCATCTGGGGTTCTATGTATATATATTTACACACACACCGTAATATTGTATGAAATGTGATGTTAGTTCCAGATTCTTTTTCTCTACTAAATGTGAGATTTCTTGTATTTTTTCATAACGCATGTACATTTACCAATTCCATGTATACTTCGTTCGCTGTACATAATTTTCGACTATCCTTTTCAGAAAATAATAAACCTGTTATTTCTTTAGTACTTCACAAACTTCATTCCGTTTTTAAAATTTATCATCATAAAAAAGTTGAAACACAACTGACAAACAACCAGCTTTACATCCTACACATAATCTGAGTATATCCAGTTTATTACTAACCAATATGTGGGAATAAAAGCAACTTATAAATCATAAATTATTTTAATGAAAAACGCAATATGTGGTCGAAGATTGAGTAAAATTATAAATAAGCAGAAGAAATTCTGCAAAGATTATTTAGTCTGTCATATAATATGCACTTGCGTAAAAGAATTACACTCAATAATAGAGAAAAAAAAGAAATGGTATCAGTTGTAATAACACTCCACATATCTTCAACATGAAGCTCTGGGTCCGGAAGTGCCTGATTATATATATAGCCAAACAGGGACAAGAACCCTGATAAAAAGTTCCTATTGTGAAATATATATCGGTCCGGAAATATTGGACTAGTATTTGGAAAGCGCTCAGGTTCATTTATATCGAAAGCATAGTTCGGAGTTCAAGACCGGTATGTCCTGAAAATACAAAAAGAAATATCGAAAAATCATAAAATGAATGGTGCTAAAGTCCTGAATATAGTTGACCGTTAAAACGTCATACAAAATAATTTTCAATTAGAGGTAGTAGTCAGTATGTGGGGTTTCCGTTCGTCTGCAAACCCGTCTCATAGTGAACATGGTATTCAGAGAATTAATGTGCGTTCCTCCTTTCTTATTTTTAATGACGATCGTCGGTACGTCTTAATTCACTTCACCTTAGTTTTCTTCTATACTATATTGACTTCGGTTGTCAGTAAGTTATCAAAACGATGTCAAGTTTGCGATAAGTTATTTCAGTTGTATACTGGTCTAGTGAATAGGTGTGTGTCTTTAGGCTGACGCATAGTCTTTAATCCAATCAAGTTACAACTACTCATGCTGAGAATATCGGTGTTGCACAAAGTGAAATTTAGGAGCATCTCATCCACTTCCAGGCCTATAGGAAAAAATATCAATGAGCACTAAGTAGTGGTGGGCTCTTCCTAAATGACTAAATATAGCCTCGTTATTACGCAACAAACCTTCAGCTAGACCTGAGAATCAGCTTTCAGTGCGACGAAAACATCGGCATCTGAGGATGCACTCAACATTCATATCAGCCAAAGTTGACGATCCGGCCACTACTTTACTCCACAATTTCTTACAAAAATGTGAGAACAGTTGATGTGATACTAAATAATGGTTCGAACTGCCTACCAAAAAACTTGAACAAGGTTAAACCAGACTAGCGGAATTTACCATATTCTCTAGTTTTCGATTTTCTCTGAAAATACGAAATCAATACTAATGGATCTGCAGTGACGTTTTGTTACAAACTCACTTCACTCTGATCTAAACCCGTATACCTTGAAAGGTAGCTAATAATCAAAGCCATTGATTGCAATCCAAGGTACCAGGTTTTAAAACAAATGGAACATTAGATCAATTTGCGGACAAATATAGTTACTGGTGACCTCTTCTTGATTCATATGACCCATACCTATTTTATGATTAGATGAGTACAAGCTAAATCTTAAGATAATTCGAATGCGTATTGATATGCTATCCTCAAACACAATATATACTTACCTTTAATCTTAAATGAGTCAAACCAAAACTCTATCACTCCCACCTGCGTCACTGCCCATAATAATTGTTTTCTCACTTACATGCTTCTGAATATTCAAGTTGGTGGGTGTTTGGTTAAATACAGGTTTTAAGTTGGATGTTCCTGGTTCCCCAACAATTCGAAACACATATACGCCTTCACTATCTGGACTTACTGTAGATCGTCTCCTAGATACTGACTTAGGATTGCTTCTGATTGCTCCCTTCAGGGAAGTCTTCAAGATAACGGGACTTTCAGACATAACAGGAATGACATGAGGATATATTATATTGTCAATTTGCTTCGTTTGATATACTATCTTTAAAGGGTTTGAATTCATTCTATCTAAAGATCTGGATTCTCTGTTTGGATGGGATCGGGTGAAATTGATCGTTTTACGAGATTTAATCAAATCTCGATTTGAACGATTGTCTCGAGTATTTGTTATTTTAACGTCGTAAAGTTTTCCATGAAATTGCTGAATACTGTCAGGTTTCGGTAGAATTATGGGTTGTGAAGTAAGGTCTGCACTACTTGTACTAGATGTATCTTGATTATCATTGTCGAATAGGCCCCACTTACTGAGACTTTTAACAAGTATCTTTGGATCAATGAAATATTCCCGTTCATATCTATCATCTAATTCGCTGCATACATGTTTTTGTTTTTCATACAACTTAGCTAAATTGGATGACTTTGAGATTTGTGTAGTTTCGAACTCTTCTTTAACAGTAATCTGTTTAATTTTAGCCCAGCTAAGATGTTCAGTAGATCGAATTAAAGGTGAACTCATTGATGTTTGAATAATTGATGGAGGATTAGAAATTGATGCATCGGAATTCCAACTATTTATTCGGACACTAGACTTTTTCTTCCTAGTTATAGCCACAAATTGATAATCACTTGGAAGACGGCAATGTAACGATGAGGAGCGATTGAGGTGCCTTGATGTAATTGTTTCATAAAAATGCGGTTCATTAAGAATACTTGAAGATTCTGCATCTTTAACATCCTCAGGAGTAGCTAATGGTACTCCTTCAATTTTGGTGTATTTGCACGCGTCACTGTCAAGCCAATCTCCTGAGTCAGTTTCATAAGTACTATTTTCATAATCTGTTGTGACTCTATTGCATTCATATGGAGATTGAGTTAGTGGTTCTTCATATAAAACTTTGGATGGCAAGTCTACTGATTTGAGTTCTGCTGTGTTACATATCGGCCATACGTTTGCTGTAGAAATGATTGGGCTTTTAATAGGTTCTACAGTTTCAGAACAATCATCCAATGCACATATGAGCGTTCGTTCTTGGTTCCTTGAACCAATGAATCGTAAAGGATCAATTGTTAAAGGTTTAGGAGGTTCTAGACAGAAACGTTGTTTCGCAGCTAGCCGTGACTGATGAGATGGAGATGAAAATGGTGGAGGTATTTTAGACTGAATATTATTTAAATTGTCAGTACATAAAGAAGGATCACTTATACTCGCTTCCATTGGTTTTTGTGAATCAGAATGCACATTGGATTTGAGATTTTGAGGATCGGTCGGAGAAAGAGCAGCTGAAGATGCAGATGATCCAGTTGATTTTAAAATCCATAAATCTGTATTTTCCTGATTCATTCTTCTGGTAGAATCACGTGCATCTATTTCAGGTGAATAAATCTTGTGGTCATATGAAAATGAGCATTGAGATTCTGACTCACTTGATCTATATGACAAAAATATATAAAAAGTGAGTTCAATTTAACTGTCTATGCTTTAAAACGATTGCAAATATATTATATTTTGTATTTGAAATTCTTGTATGCATTGTATTAGAGGAGTTTTTATATCAGTATCATATCGAGTACAATTTACTAAGGCATTATTTATCTCATAGTAATAAAATCAGGAAAAAGCCATTGACCATTAGAGTGCCCATGTGAATAGATTTGATACTTCATGTGAGTTTACACTTCTTATACTATAGGCCAGAAATATTATAGAACCTAGGAAAGTGATAAGAATTCTCTACAAATACGTCTAGAAATATCCTGACGATAAGATACCTTCAATTTCATTAAGTAACGGTTTTACAAGAAGCTTTTATTCTTTTAACCTCTTGCTTTTGAGGAGATACTGGACTGTATGAATCGAAGGGTCCGGTATCAATCAGTCCTATTGCCTTATTAAAGGTCTTCAGAAAGTTGTCACTTAAAATGATAATGAAGTCGATCATTCTTTGTAAACTTAGATATCTTCTTTAATCGGTATAGAGTGTTCAACAGACCTGGTTCTGTCAAAGGAAAACTCAGATGGAAATTTGTGAATGTATGATTATGTGTTTTACAGTTGTGACAGTTATGTATCAGGATTTTTCTGTTATATCTATTTCGGGAATGTGGAAAAATAACTAGTGGATCCACTTAATACTCTAGGTATTCTCTATGTTGCTTCAGCCTTCATAACTAACGAAGTTTACGTAGATAGAAATTTTGATCAGTGCTGCTACGGGGTAGAAATAACCATATTAGATAATTTATTCTCTAGCTTGTTTAATTAGTGCAAATTCTTCAATCACTTGTTTTTTGTTTCCTTAAAATTGTATATAAAAAGTGATATATTTACTAAATAGTACATCTTCACATGGTGTTATCTGATACCCTACGGATCAGTGAGTTATGAGGTATCTAGGGGAAGGGAGTGGTTTTGTTTGTCTTGAATCGTGTTATCAATGCAAATCCGTTCCCATTGTAGTGTCCATTACTACGCTAAGCCCATATAACTTATTCTAGCTTCTGGACAGGCCAATTTATCCATTTTTCTTGAGTCACGTTTTGACCTTGTCAATTATTCACTTATCAATTTGACTGCTTTTATGTAAGCCTATGTATGTGCATATCTTATCCTACTCGCCACATGTCTGTAGCTTATTTCTATGTGACTATAAATATTGATTAACGTTTGGTCAAACGGAGTTGGCTCACATGCCTCCTCCATTGCACGCCATTTCACCTTGCTCTCTTCTCTTCACTTGGTCCCTCTGATTGTCTATCCAGATCAATCAGTGTACAAAATATATGTATTCAAACATCCATTTTCGTATTTGACTTATTTAATTCCGTTATTCACTAACGCGGATTAAGTTGATAATTATATACTGGGATTGTTATGAACATTTCGACAGCAATCATCCATACGATAATAATGGAGTCAGATCTCGGGCCACTAAACTATTATTATATTAAGCAAAGATGGATAGTGGCTAGCAGTGGAATCCAGGACGCGCGTTTCGTCCTGTTTGGGACTCGTCAGCTGGAGTGAACATCAACTCTGAGATGCGTCCTGGATTCCACTGCTAGCCACTATCCATCTTTGCTTACAATGCTTGTAAA